AGAACAAACGTCCCTAAAACAGCAGTGCTACACGTTGTCTCCTCAGCAAAAAAAAGGTTTATTGCCAAGACTCAGATTAGAGACTCAATTTGCTTTTTCCAGCTAGTAAAAGCGTTGAGCGAAGAAGTCATTCCTTTCTTTTTATGTTAGGGTCATCTCTCCTGTGATGAAGTGAAAGATATGGAAAATGTTTCCAGTATTCTTCGTTTGTGCATCTTCCATAATGTGCTATAACCTTCCCACTCCTGATTAATAATCAAATAAACCTTGTTCTGGCAGATGTTAATTCTTACCATCACATTCCCAGAGGGCTGGGGTGCCTGCCAACCTTGTAAAACATTTACTGGCAAGTGGTCTGATGCATCGATGCCTTTTATACAACGCAATGTTTCTGATGCTGAAAAAAAATGTACTGTTTTTGACTTGCTATTATTTCCTTGAAATGAGCAGCTCTTTTGGTTTCAGATGTGAATGCCTGTTTTATTTGGTGTTGATTCCTTGCAGATGCTTGACTTTCTTTTGTGACGCAAGACGTATCGGGCTTTAAATGGAGCAGACAGGAAAAAAGGCATTGAAATATTTTTGCATGGTATATTTTGGTCTAAAATGCTTCCATTCTCTGTTGGATGCTTATAAATGGCTGAATGGGAGCAATTACTATCATGAACTGTGAACAATATTACCGTCCTCGTTTATTCCAGTGGTTTTAGCACACAAAACAAGCCCCCTGCCTCAAGCCCCAGTGATTCCAGACAGTGTCTTCTGCCGTTACTGTTCACTGTGCTTAGTTTCTATTTTCAGGATTATATAGACTATTGGAAATATTACCTAAGTAATTAAAAATAATAAGGAAAATAAAATGGTCTATGCAGTGCATATCCAAAGATCTTATGTGTAAGATCTACAATCTGTTTTCCTTAATGTAGTGTTTGCTTAAATATTCCAAGCATCTGTAGGTGCACATACCATAAAAGGCATGACTTAACCTTTCCTGAAACCTCTTAACAGTAAGGCATTCCTAGTAAACTAAATTAGAAAGGAAAATGCACACAGCCAGTATGGAGCAGGAAACATCAGATGGTATCTTGTGAAATTGTAAAGGTACTGATTTAGAAGCTTTGGTGTGGAACTCAAATGGTGTTTGTTTACTCGAAAGCTATTAGGAGAATATGCTAGTTATCAGGTAATTCTTTGTTCGTGTTGCAGCACACCAGGTTGATTTTGGTCAGTATTGGAATAGGAGATTTATACAGAAAATGAGGTGGTGCTCTTCCCTCTGCATTTCCAGTGCAATGTCCCAACATAGCAAGATGCTAGTGTCCTACCTAAATTCCTCTTTTTTTTTTCCTCTAAATTTCCCCCTTACGTAATCTGGTGATGCAATGCAGCAGCTATATCATCCTGCAGCCCACTGACGCTCAGCAGGTGTGAGACTGGTCAGTACCTGGATGGCTTGGGAATAACTAGAGTTTCTGCTGGAAGTATTGTTAGAGGGACCGGTAGGGCGCTCACCCTGTGGTCTGTGTGGGTCCTAATGCTCCAGTCTAGCGACGGGGACACTATAGTGTGAAAAAGGCGCCGTCCTTCGGATGAGACGTAATACTGAGGTCCTGACTCTCTGTGGTCTTTAAAAATCCTAGGGCGTTTCTCAAAGAGTAGGGGACTTACCCCGGCATCCTGGCCAAATTTCCTAATAATCCCCCTCTCTGAACTGGCCTCATCACTCTGCTCTCCTCCCCACTGATAGCTGGTGTGTGGTGAGTGTACTGGCACTCTCTGGCCACCGTCACATCATCCAGGTGGGGCTGCACATTGGTGGTGGTGGAGGGGAGTCTCCATTACCTGTAAAGTGCTTCAAGTGGAGTGTCCAGAAAAGCGCTGTATAGGTGGGAGGATTATTCTTCATTATTACTGCATGTACAAATCAACATTTTAGTTTGCTGTTTTGCAGTGCTGGCAGCCCTGGTTTTGATTCCAGTCCTTGGGTGTTATCTGTGTGGAGTTTGTATGTTCACCCCTTGTTCATGTGGGTTTCCTCCAGGTGGTTTCCTCCCACACTCCAAACACATACTGGTAAATTAACTGGCCCTGTGTATGTCCTGCGATGGACTGGTTGGAAAATGGTGATCCAGCACTTCAATGGTGAATGACCTGTGAAGTGCTCTGTGATCCTTTAGAATAAAAAGTGCTATGTGACTGCAATTAATTTAATTATTAGTGATCAGATAATTTTCTCTTTGTACAATATGAAATATTTTACATAGGGAAATGGCTCTCTGGTTCATAGAGCACGTTTTTGGTCAAAATGTTTCCAGAAAGTTAAATAACTTGTCGGCTATGGTTCTTCGTTATAAAAACAAATCCAACTGGTGGATCAGATAAGATCAAGGGCAATTAAAAAAAAGGCACAACTAGTCAAACCAAGAAGTGAAAATTAGGAGCAAGTGCAATTTTATTCTGTTTTTTCAAATACAGACAAAGCCAGGGTTCATATCAGGAAAGAAACTGAAAAAAAAACTGTAGAAAACAGAAAAAAATAGTTATCCATTTACAGCCATTTATAACAGTCTGATACGTGACAGTGACCAAGTCTGATTTGTTTGGAAAGAGAGAAAACGAAGTTTGTTACACAAATTCCTAAGTTAGAAAATGTGTTTTAGAAAATATACATAACTACATCCTTTTTTACTATTTCTGCATATACTATTTTTTTCCTTTAGATTTTGAAACATGCAAAAGTTGAAGAGCTGTCATTACTGCCGTGCCTGAACAGTATATCTATATATAGGGAGCGATATATAGATAACGGTGATAAAATTGAATACATTATTGTACACTCATTGGAACGAAATGTTGTATTTTATACATTCCTGAGAGCAGAACTACGGAAGCAGTCACAAGAAGTAAGAAACGAATGGGCCTTTTGAATTTTGTCTTTGTTTTTCTGAAATGTTGACAGACATCCATGAACAAGCAGTGAGAAAAAGCCCCAACCCCTTTTAACACAGCTAAGGACAGAAAGAACAGGACTGTTCAAGTACACGTTTGTGTTCTTTAAAGCACATCTTCATAGCTTAATAACAAAAAGAATAAAATACTCTTTGATAAAACGAGTACTTCTTCTCTGACTTATTCTACCTCATTAAAAAGCAGCCTTACCTCTAAAGTACAGTTCAAATTCAGACAGTCAAAATGGTGTCTGGTTTAAGCAGTCTTTTGCACTGTTACTCTGTGTATGACCTTCGATGTCACATAACTGATTTTGCCCAATAAATGCACAGTAGAAGAATGTAAAAAGATTTCCTCTCATTTTCATCCCATTTAAACTGTATCCACCAGGCTACTGTTAACTACTGTGATTCACTTGCACTCACTTTACTTTCAGCTAGAAAACTGACTGATGGAAAGCAGTAAAAGTCTTTAAGCACTTTTATTGGAGGAGAGTATCAGTTTTAATTAGCTCTAAACTGTCCTGCACATTTCAGTGGCCCACTTTCTCTTTCAACCACCTGCTGTGCGCTTGTCTGTGGACAAAATGCTTTCTGAATATAAGGCAAAGCCTAAGAATTGGGTAGGGTGCTGTTTCATTCAGTGGGCTTCTGTCAAGAGGCCACAGCTCCTACTCCAGTCGATACTGCTGTTCATTTCACACATCTCGACTCAACTGGCAAGAGGTCCTGTGCTTCTGTGCATCACTCTCTCCATATGAACATCTCCTGGTACTTGAACGGTCTACTGCGATCTGCCAGAGTTTTGAAATCTGGGCTACTCAGTGCCATCCAAGCATACATGCACATATACTCTGAGACATTTTTCTCAAGATTAATAGCAAAAGTTTCCAATGTGCTACGTGTCTCCTTTGCAGATATCAACAAGCAGAGACGATGTACTCTCATCTTTCCAATTCATTTCCCAATGATTAAACTGACATTTCTCCAGGGTAAACTCAATAAACCTTTGCCTGTACCCTTCCACAACTAATTAAAAACAGCCACTGTTTTACACTGGGGAGGGGATAGGTGAATCAGAACAGGCAGGTCAACCAAGGAGCTGACATCTGTGACAACACCAGGACTTCAAGACTTTGTTGCCCTACTGCTGGAGACGCTACAGCTGTGGCCAGGCAATTCTCACGAGTTCCTGTGCCACAAATCGTCAGCCGTGTGACTTGCTCGCCTCAACAACACGCTCTGACAAAGTGGACATGCTTCTTATAATTTGACACCACTTCTAATAAAACGACACCCGTGTTACTTCAAAGTCTACACTGACCACTACCATGTTTCTGCTGTGGTCTTCCAAGACCAATATCAACAAGGAAATTCTTCTTCCCTCCTCTAAATATCACTTAACTTCCTCTAATGTCTGCTATCCATTTCCTGTGTCCCGACAGTAGACGCAAGAATTGCAAAAGTAACTTAAGACACCCAACATCACAATGCATAAATACACCACCTCCGAATGAACATACTCCGAATTATGTTTTCAAGTGGAGCAGAGGTTCTTGAACTTAAACAGAAACTTGACAGAACAAAATAGACATGAAACACCTGCTCTTCCAACAACAGAATTCAAATCAACATGATCAACCTTTACATTTTGAAATCCAAAGCTAGTAATCCTGTTTCAAAGTGAAACATTTCAGAACTTTTTTTTTTAAAGATTCCTACAAGTAGAAACAAAGAAAACGGGACAAGTCCAGGGGATTTTTCCATATCAATCTGCATCATGTATGTCACATAGTACACTTCTGAGACTTATTCAATCTCCAGTCCTCTCATATTCATCCAAAGGTAAAGTTAGCATTACACCTTTAGAAAAAATGGTAAATTACAACATTGCATTTACATTTCAGGAAACTGAAAGTTTGACCACGGATTCCTTTTGTATACAAAAGTATTGTATATTTTTAGTTAGTTCTAAGAAAAACATTTTGCATTTTAGATTTGACTACAACTATGTCAGCTAATAGACAAGGATTGAGAACAAGAATCACACTATTACGTGAGTGCTATCATGTTCTGACTGATGGCTATGAAAAGTTATTAAATAAATATACTATCTTATTGTTGATTCCATTTGTCTGCCTGTATCAATATGGTCACGCCGCTTTTCAATTATCTCCAATAGTAGAAAGCCTAAGAAAGATTAACAGTGTATTGCTTTTATATAAAAAGTGCAGTCAATTCATGAAATACAAAAAATTAGTCAAAACGGATTCAGCGTCATCAAAAAAAGCTTTCAGTACTTTGCTCTAATATCAGCTGAAATATTTTAAAATGCAACCTGATATGTCAGTTATTTACACATGACAATTCCTAAGAATTATTGAAAAGTGCACCCTTTAACAAAGAAATATTTCTGGGAAAAAAACAAATCAAGCAACACCGCTAGCTCTGCCAAATACAAATACCTCATAGATATAGTATAGAAATTTCATGAATGAACCAATCAGTTTTTGATGTCAGTCCTTTGCAGTTTTTTAAGGCAGTAATCACAGTCCGCATGACCAGGAGGACAAGAGTACTGTAGAAAGCAACAACAAAGAAGTTAAACCACACACATTGTCATAAATAAAGGAATGATTCATCTCGCTAAAATCCAAAAGTGCTGAAATTATGTATTTTCCTAAACCCAGTGTTTGCAACAGTTTATTTTTTTGTCTAAGTTAATTAAATTTGTAGTTGAACTAATGATATGTTTAAAGGAATGGCTTTCTGGTTGTGAGAAGTAGGTGATTTTACACGATCTATACTGTAGGTCTTGTCATTGGGCAGGCGATGAAAAAGAGTGGTGTGATGCACCCAACTGTAAGATCAACTCATGTTAAAGGAAAAGCTCCTTAGCCTCGCAAAACATCCTTGCAAAGATCAGGCCTTTAGCTGTCTGCCACACAAGATTCATTCACCTCAGGGTGAAATCTGTCCCTGTTCTCCAGATGCAACAATTCCCATTAACCCTTCAACTGTGTTTAAAAACGTGCCTCTTCTTTTCCCAGTGAAAAGCTGGTTTTAGATCTCTTCCCATTCAGAAAAGGGACTGCGTCTTAAGGCATCTCAAAATTGTATACTACAGCAGGGGTGGTCAACCTTCATTCAGGAGAGTCCCAGTCCCTCAAGTTTTATAGGAAACTCTTAAATCAACAAACTGTCAAGAACGTGAACATATGCAAGATTCGCTCAGTTTACCAACACCAATTGGTAAAGTCTGGAATGGTCAGTAGTTGTCCATGAGAGCTTTTCACTTCAAGTAATCTCAAAACTACTTCACTGTACGTACGGTATCGCCTAAGCCGTCACAACAAAACTGCTTTGATGATTTAAGGTTGACCCAAAACGTCTACCGGATTGTGGTTCTCCAAGACAAAAGCTGATCACCCCCGTATTACACTGTATCTGAATTGTATTTCAAGTTTAGACAGAAATGCTCATATTTTCCTGTTATTTAAGTTAAAAGTTATTAAGTAGGAGATCAGGCAGTCCAGGAAAGTGGTTGGGCCATGCAAGAAAAAAATGAAGACAATGGTAGTCTTTCCTGCTATTGTTTTTAATTAAATCGAGTACAAATAGTTTCCCTTAAACAAAACTAATTTACCATAACAATAATTTAACAAGCTTAGAAAGTTATCAAAAACTGAGATCATTTATTCTGGTACTTGTCATGAAGCTTAGAACATTTCCTTCTGAATTTTAAGGTCCCAGGAAGGTCCAAAAAAACAGAAAGTCTGAAACACTTGAATTATTAAATGCGTACCCCCTTCTATTACATGTGTAATTTAGAAACTGTCCGTTACGGAAATGTGAGAGGACAGTACAATCCTTCAAGCTGCACAAGTAACTGCAGGAAAAGGGAATTGCTTTTCTTACAAAATAAGGCAAATGTGACGCCAAACTGCACAAACGCCCAACGTGGCTGAAATCTGCCTGTGAGATGTGAGTGCAGGTCAGGCTCCTGTGACCACTGTCTGTCTGAACACACTCACGGGCTTGTGGAACCTGCATTGTGTTTGAGCTGGACACACCTGCATCTTTATCCTAGCATTAGAAGTCCCAAACGTAACCATATTGCCATTGTAATTCTCTAGGTGTACTTTTTTTTTGTCTTTCTCCCCTACTCTCTTTTCCCATCTCATACAATCGCCTCTGACAGTTTCTTTGTTGACTAAGTGGTTTGGGAATAATACAAGTGGAGAACCAACGCAGTAACAACCACCTGAAATTCTGTTGCTCATCATCTTTCAAACACACATTCCTCATGCTAGAATTACAAATGTGACAATTAAGTATCCAGAATGGCAGAAAGATGAAGACATATCTTTACCTATTTCAACTTGGATAAAGCTTGCAGGTGTTTCAGTTTTGACATGGCAGTAACAAAAGCTTATTTTGAAATTCTGTCTTGTGCAGGAAGGTACAAGAAGACGAGCTTTAGGAAAAGTCTGTAGATAGGAGTTTACAATTTAATTTGAACGTACTGAATAGGCGACTGTGTCAAACTATAAAAGACTACTAATACCTTGAGTTGGAACAGGAGAGACAGTGAAAGAGCAGATTAATCTTCAGCTCAGCTCAACGCAATTGCCTTTTAAAACTGTTTATTGTTCATATAAGGAAATCCCAATTTGCTGGAGGATTTACAAGCAATCGGGGTAATTAAAATTACCCAGAAACAGCCACCTGATACAAATTTGAACGTATAGGTTTACTGTTTAAGTTTTATTAGCTATTTCTGCTGGGAATCCTTAATGTAACAGGATGTCACTTCTTAAATTTACACTTTAAACATCTTTAGCTTTTTAAGCTGTGAGATTCAAGGTGATGACAACTGGGTGAAACCAGGTGCTTTGTAAAAGTACGCCAGCTGTTTCACTCCATTGGCGTGTAGTGAAAATGAAAATAAGCCGATTTCTCAAGAGCTGAGGCTAGAGAAGGAAACACGTATTGCCCTTTGCTTATGATGATTGTAAAACCATCAATTGTTTTGGTCCAAGTATCTCATTAACACAGATTCTCAATTTTACTTGCTTGTTAAAAAAAGGAAAAAAGGGAGTATCAGTTTCTGACACCTGAGAAAATGTGCGCATTTCCAGCTCATCAATTTAAGCCTATAAACACTCCTCCCTTCTTTCCCTGAAATGAAACACTCACTTTTGATTTGATTGTAACTGTAGTCAGTCACAGCCCAAAACGAAAAGGCTTTGTGAGGTGAGGGCTGTAAAAACCAGACATTCTCTGTCCTCTCATGTTAGTAATTCCCCCACAGTGAAGGCAGTTCTCATGAGCCACAGAAACAAGCACAAGAACCCTCTGGGTCTTATCTCTGTTAAAATTAGATCCCTGATTTGAACATTAAGACATCTAAAGTGTGGTGCGATGTTTTTGCGGAGGATGCCTTATAGAAGGGTATAGAAGGATTGTCTTTTTTGATATCGACAAGTTTTTTAATCCATTGTGTCAAGGAGTGTATCGCTTTTCCATTCAGTCTAGAAAACAAACAGAACAGCACGCACATTTACAACACGTTAAAGAGTCTACATTAAGCCTTCACTTGCCCTGTCTTTCCCTGTCAGCTTGGAGAACGTCTTTTGGACTGATACCATTCTACATTTTTAAAGCCGGCAGATATTGTATGTTCCCAGCACTGACAGCAACTTCACAGCAGAGGTGTGTAACAACAGCAAAGCACAGACATTTTTGCACACTTCTGTGTAGCCTTCTCTCTGCAGGAAGGAGAACAAAGCCCAGAGGTACAGTGAACCAGACTATGGGGTCAAGCACATTTGTTTAGCTCCTTCCATCTTTATTTCATAGCTGAAACACGTCTCATTCCAGCTGTTCTGTGACTGAGCTGCATGATTAAGAAAAACTGCTAATGCAAAGCAGTTATCAAAGAAACTGAATATAATGTTATGCAGTTCACAACCAAAGCCAAACAGATCCAATGAATGCCCTAATATAACAGTAATAAAATAAGATAATCTGTGTGTGTGTGTGTATTTCTTGGTCTTCTAGAATCTCAATTTGTCTATTGAAATTGTTGCAATTTCTGCTGCTAGTAACACGATTTCTGAAAGGCTGCACTTCAAAGAGCGACTAGAAAATGCACATCCCAGTCAGCATCTTTGTTGGCGTTAAAACCGCAGGACGACCAATCATGTGTCGTGTTGTGCTCGCACCAGGGAGCCTAGCACGGCTGTCATGCACTGGATGATGCCCTCTGAAAGGCCCCATGCCTGTTCTGTACCATCTCCCATGTTAGCACTGTCCTCCATCTCTCCCTGGTTATGGGATGGACAAACTGCAGAGAGCCTTGGAATCTTCCATCCAGAGGAGCGTGTCCGATCAAGTAATGCGCGTCACGTTTGGAAAAAGGAGAGGCAAATGCTGATGAAATGTATTCCCCTAGTCCGCCTAAAGGTGGCACTTAGTTGGTTTAGCTCTCGGGCTCCTCGATGTGCCTGGGAAGGGAAGGCTGCTGGCTGGCTGTACTGGTCCCCCGGGAGACACGCTCCTGCTCCCCGTTGCTAGGAAGCGTCACCATGCTGATGGGCGGTACCACACCGGGGGTGTGGGCCGAAGCAACGGACAGGCTGTGGCCAGAGCTCTTGAATGTCAAGTCCGGTTTGGGCAGCAGGGGCTTGAGGATGCTCACCAGGCAGAAGGCCGAGCCACTCTTGGGAATGAAGTTCACTTTGTTCTTGTCTGGACAGTAGAACTGGGGGATTTCATGATGTGGCCTGGGCCTGTGAGATCAGGCAAGGAAAACACGAAGGAAGAACTTTGTTTTAAAAGAAAAAGAAGATCGAGCCATTGTATTCTGAAAGCATTTTTTAAGTTAAATAATTTCACATGATTTACTCATATCATTGTTGTGAATGCAGTGCTTAAACATACTGCAGTGGTTTCTTTGAGATCAAATGCTAAACACTTCTTTACAAACTGAACGATTAATATTCAGGTAACCATGTATACTTGACTTGAAAATGTGTTTTTTACAACTAGTCTAAAAATGAAAGGATATAAATATTCAAATAAAATACCAAAGCAGTTAATGCAAAGCCGTTTTGGAACACACCACAACAATGAGATCTGGCAGAAATAAAATAATTTCCCCAACATAACAGTTAAAGAGAGTTTAGTATACAAATATCAACAAAATGCCTGGTTTAATGCAAGTACTGTCAATATATCTGAGAACTTCTTTAATCATTAGCTGGTATGGTGTGATAAGATAAAAAAAGATTACATTCATCAACAAAGATAATCTACTATCCCCCTAAATATTGTATCAAAATCTATGAACAAAGTACACCTTATACTCTTATCATATACAACAGTGTTTATGTTCCTGCAATTATTTGCCCTCAGTGGTTCATGGGATGGCTATAAAAATCATTACGAAATTAGAAAAATAGGGATTGGAAGACACTTTAGCAAAACGTGCTGTGCATAAGCATGGCTAGAAACAACAACATGCTTAAAGAGTACCTTAAGGGTACTTAAAGAGTCAGGCTATACAAACATTGTACATTTGTGAACTTAAGATACTGCCTTGTATATTGGCATTTATACCCTCTTTTTAACATAAAAGTAGCATATCCTTTCTTTCACAAACTCCACAGTCATGTTGCTAGAGGCAGTCACCACTATGTCGAAAGTAGTAAAAGTAGTGTTCTCACAGTCCACTGTTTTAACAAAATGGTGCAGGTTATATAGTAAAATGAGGTCCCACAATAAAACTCTCTGAGCTTTCTTAAAATCTAGCTCCAAGGCTCAGCTGTTCCAGACATTTCCTCTGAATAATCAGGGATACGTTGTGTGACCCAATGCAAAACAGCACTGTATGTGTTACCAGAACCTTAAACTGGACGGGATGGGACTTTGTGACTTTCGGGGTTAAGGCCTACTGTATTTGGTTGATGTGATGCGCAAGCACGAAGAGCAAACTCACGGAGTTTCTTCGAAGACCTTCACCCTCTCGCAGCCCTCGGGAGGCTCGCGTTTGAACATGTAGCTGTTGTTGGGCTTGGGGGAGGAGGCGTACTTGGGCAGGGGCGAGCTGGTTCCGCAGTCTGCAAGGAGAGGGGGCAGAGGCAAGATTTTATGGGTGGCCAGAGCTCAATCCTGAACCCGCGCCTCACCGCATCTCAAAAATGGGTCAAATGTTCTGCAGGGTCCTGTTTTTCCTGTGCTTGTATTTGGTAAGGCAGAGGCCAGATACATCCAAAAAATAGACCACAGAGACAAAGGGATTCAAAATACAGATTAAATACATATTAATTACATTCATTCAAATAAAAACAAAATCCAAAAGTGCTAAAAGAGGTTAAACTGCTATCCAAAAGTTAAGTCAAGACATCCTGTTACCTGCACAGATCCCTTTTGAGAGAGTTTTTGGGGCTCACTTTTCTGGGAGGCACTTGAATTGATAACTCGGCAACTTCACTATTTCTAAAAGCAGCGCAGCTGTAAGAATAAGAACTGGCTCGTAAGTAAAGTAAATTATGTCTTGGGTCCTTAAAGGAAAAAAGGTTAGACTAACTGCTAATTTATTCAGCTGAAAAGCTTATCCAAAGCAATTTATATTTGTACACATTTATATGTACAGCTGGGTACTCTCCTTACTCAAGGGTACAACAGTGGTATCACCTGGGATTTGAACCCACAACCTTTCAAATGAGGAGTCCAGAACACAACTGGCTCACATCAGATTTGAAAGGTTTTATTTGCTGTCTGGAACATTTCCCACTGTGTGTTTGCAGCGTTAGGCTCTCGAGTTGCTGCTGAAAAGCGTTCGGGTGATGTAAAAGTTGCTGGTGGAGCATTAAAACGCTGTACAATTACTCTGCAAGACTGCAGTTTCATTACTAATGTACTGGACAGTGTGCCATCATATTAATACTACTGCAGCAGTGTAATCCTGCATCATTACAGTGCTGTAAGAACAACAATCGTAATGATAACCGTTGTAAGTGCAACTGTACAGTTTAACAGGGAGTGCGGTAAATTCATTGGGCACATAAATAGTAATTAGAAATACAGTTATTATTATGGCCAGCAGCCATACCCTGCAGCTGGCAACCCACTGAAGTTAAGCAGGTGTCTAGCAGGTGTTAAGGAGCCTGGTCAGTACCTGGATGGGAAAAACTAAGGTTGCTGCTGGCAGAGGTATTAGAGGGGCCAGTAGGGGGCGCTCACCCTGTGGTCTGTGTGGGTCCTAATGCCCCAGTATAGTGATGGGAACACTATTAAGGTAAAAATGTGATGTCCTTCGGATGGGACGTAAAACGGAGGTCCTGACACTCTGTGTTCAATCAAAATCCTCGGGCGTTTCTCAAAAAAGAAGGGGAGTTATCCCGATGTCCTGACCGATTTCCCATTGGCCTTTACCAACCATGGCCTCCTCATAATCCCATCTATGAACTGCCTTCATCACTCTGTTCTCCTCCCCACTGATAGCTGATGTGTGGTGAGCGTACTGGCGCACTATGGCTGCCATCGCCTCATCCAGATTGTGTTACGCATTGGTGGCGGGAGTGGGATTCCCCATTACCTGTAAAGCGTTTTGAGTGTATTGTCCAGAAAAGCGCTATATAAGTGTAAGCAACTATTATCATTAATGTAGCAATTCCATTCAATACCATGTGGTCTATTCCCATCTGTTCCTAAGGTGTACCTTTCTCCCTGCCGTCGGTGAGCAGGTCGTCGGCGGGGCAGGGGCTCTCCTCGCTGCCCTCGTTGGAGACTGTGAAGAAGGTGGGCGAGACGGACTGCGAGCGGCTGCTGCTGTCGCTGCTGCGGTCGGCCCCGGAGGGGGTCTGCGTGTCGATGCTGCGCGTGCTGCTGCTGCGCTGCGGCAGGGGGGGCGGGGCGCGGTGCCCATCGGGGATGTCCTGGGGCTGGAGGGCAGGGGGAGGGGAGAGAGAAGCCTGCAGGTGAGACGAGGAAGGACAAACCCTCATTCTGACTGATCTGCTACTTGCACTGGTTTAGCAGCTCCATACCAAGGTTCACCTGATGCAAAGCCCTGCGTCTACTCACGTGCTGCGTAGACTTCATCAAATGCATTCCAGGCTTTCACACACACCAAGCAGAAAGATAACATCTTCTTTAATGCTTATAGCTAGTGATAGGGAGTCATAGGTTTTATCACCTCCACACCTTCAAATGATCACTCCGGGTAGTCTTGTCTGAACTCCTTGCAGAGTAGAACTGTCCTTCGTGTAACTTTGTGAACAAAACTCTGAGGGGTATTTATCTCTATTAGAATATCACATAGTAGCAAGATGCAGGTCTCATGCAGATGCAGATTTTATTGATCTGAATGCTTGAATATTGAGCCAGAGAACTCAATTTCAGGTAAGATAAGATCACTTTATTGGCCATCCAAAATTTCTTGCATTAGGAATTTGTCTTTTTTGCATACCCCAACTTGCTCTCCATGAGACACACAGACAGGGAGAGAAGCTTGGGGTCAGAGTGCAGGGTTCAATGAATGAGAATATATGCCATGTGAAAGGCAGAATTATGGAACTCAACATTTCCCTGGGCACTGTGCACAACAGGGGCTGTTGAGACACTGTAAAGCACGTGCCCACTGTGTGCTGAAGCAACTCTAAGATGTTCTTCAAATAGCCTCTGGACCTCTGCCGTGTACTTGACAAATTTTCATACAGAAGGATGAGGTTCCTGCAGCACAATGTCACAGGAAATAAAACATGGATCTAAAACGGACATCATCTGATAACGCAAACATACACTATTCCATCCTGGCCAGCGATTTCTATTGTTTTGATCCCTTTAAAAAGTTAATTGATAGAAAGTGCAGCTGATAAGGCAAATATGCATAGAGTAAATAAAATGAACTCTTGTGATGTAATATATGTGCCTAAAAATCCATTTAATTTGCAATACCAACTAAGGTTAAATAAACTTTTCAAATTTAATCGAGTCCACGATGTATTCAGTCACAGCGCATGACAAGTACTCAGTTTGCGTAGACTGGAGAGACTTCAGGCAATTAAAGGACTACAAACACTAGAGACTTTATCTTTCGACCATTACAAAGTTCTAAAAAATGAATTACTTTTTAAAAAACGTTTGATGAAATACACATTCTATTAACAAAAGAGAGTCAATATTGACTTCATCTCAATATGCCTCCTCTCAGTATGAGGGTGCTGTAATATTAAAGTGCCTGTCTGTGAAAAGCTGACTCCAAACCTTGACAGACTAGCAAACGATTGCAAGATCATTCTCCCGGGGTATTTAGTCCAACTGAGACCGAAAGAATGCCCAGCACTCAACAAAGATTACAGTGGTGAAACATAGTACTAAGTGTTTTTCTGTCAGTAACGATTCAGAGACACATACAGGTCAACCTTAAAGGATTTTTTAGATTCTATTGAGCTCTTCTCTCCAGTTGTTCTGTCCCTTAAAGAAGGACCTGCCCAGAACAAGACACTCCTGTGTGCACTAGCGTCATGGTGAGGCACACAGATCTATGGCTTGGAGCACTCTCTAGGAAAGGGATGGTCTTACTATTTATTGGTTTTGCCTGTTATCTGTGCAATAATAAATGCATTTACATGGGGATTCTTGTTGCCCTGTTTATTTAAAACATTCTTACCAGACACCCATTTCTCCATTTAAGTAGGGGTTGCATTTCACAATTACATAACTGGACTTTTATGTAAATCAGAAGCAACTTTTTCTAAGCCACTGCTTAAACAAGTATAGAGAATTGCCTGCTCTTTATATATCAAACAAACTTTCCATAACGCCAAATTGTTATTATGGAACCCATGGGAGATATTGTTGTAAAGTCAAATTTATGTACAGTATATCAAGTCTCTTGGTAGCCGAGGAGAGTGTTTCAGAGGTCATTTTTTGAGACTAAATAGTTTCCAACCTGATGCTAAACACTAGACCAAGGCTATTCCTCACACTGCTTGTCTGACTTTTTTTTTAAAGTTGTATGCTATTTAACTTTTTGTTGCTGCTGCTGCTGTGCTGTGTTTATGTTTTGGGTGATTCCTTTAATGTCTTTGTATTGAAGCATACATGCAAATAAGTGTTTCATTGCACTCGCGCAGATAACAATAAACTGAACTGAACTAAACTCAACCTGTGGCCCTTCCATTCTGCTCCATTGCAGAATAGTTACAGAAGTCCTTAATAGCTATAAAATAATAGCTATATTCATCCTATAAATAATCTGATGAAGAAATGGCTGTAGATGAAATTCTGAAACTATACGGGCTGCAGGTTGAGCGACCCTAATCGGGAACCTAACACCTATACCCTAGAAAGAAATTCACAGATCCTCCGGCTGTCCGGAAGTCAACCTTATACGCTGTAAGTGTGGGCCAGACAGACTTTGTAAAAGCCTTGAAGTGCAGTTGTGCTGTACGACGGTGGGACTCACAATGAGCTGCTCATCTCTCTCCCCTGTCTCCTTGATGATGATGCGCTCGATTTCCTGGTTGAGGCCCTCCACGCTGTTCCTGAATCTGGACACAGACGACTTGGAAATGGGAATAGGAATCAGAACGCTCTTTGGAATGGGAGCCTGGGAGAGAGGGAGAGAGAGGCGTGTCAGGGAAGGCATCAAGACAGTTCGTTTTTGTCGCGTTCACATTCAGGGGTCCATTGGGTGAAACAGCATTCTTCTGAGGGCCACTTTGTATTGTGGTACCTGAGCTGGCTAGATTCAGAAAGTTATTTGTTGGCCTTAACTTTCACGCCTGTAACAATGACGAGGAAAGGAAAAGGATGACAAGGAAAGGAAAAGGGATTTGTTTTATCTGAAAACATTACAAAACGCCATCATGTATGTAATACAGCTGCAGTTCAGATATGGGATTTGAAGTTTGTATTCTAGTTCTTGTTTGAGGGAAAGAAAGGTAGCAGTCAGCAGAGAAAAATACGCTCAAAGAAATGCCTGTTTTGTCAACGGTTCATGGTTAGCCTACTTCTTCTTTCTGTTTGAGTTGCGCTTTATTTTAATTTAAACCACTGGCGCAGTTTTAGCTGTTAAATGGAAAATTTCCCTGAGTCTTGCGGAAAACAATTTCTACCTGATTGGGTCTCGAGTCAAAACGCAGACAGCTACAATGTCTGCGAAACGGAATAAATCATTTCTGACAACTGAGGTTATACTGTATGTACAGAACATTGGTTTTAAATTATCTGAATGCTTCAGACATGTGAAAGGGAATACTGTTTAAGCACACACAAAACATGTTGCACTTAGCAAGCATTATTATAAAACCCCAAACTCTTTAATTAGACACAGTTGTGCTAATGCACTCTTCATGAAACAGCCTAAATGGCATTGGCTGTCATTTCCCCATTAGACGCACTCAGTTAAAGACAACTCAGCTGTACAGAAACCCATGTGATTACATAACAGCGGAGCTCACACTAAGAAGAAATTGGCTGTTAAAAAAAAAGCGTTCTTTTTGAGACGTATGTGCAGAGACTGTTCCTCTTTTTTTTTAAAGAAAAGGCAAATGAAGAAAAGCTCGGGAAGATTGTGGCCCCAGACTGGTAACGAGCTCAGGCACTTGGTCATCCCCACACAAAACACAAGCTCAAGCACACTCTGAGACCGGTAGTAAATGCATGATGGCAAACTCTCCCTATTGGAATGTTTTCTGTCATATCAGGAAACTGTAAAATGACACAAATGATCAGAATCATTTCCTGTTCTTTATATCTGTAAACCACTGACCAAATGAAATTCCCATTAATCCAGTGGATCCATCTCCCAGGCTCGGGGACCTTTGTAGTGGACGGAGACTGAAACGGATTTAATCAGAATCAGGTCTCCCATGGATCTAAAGTCTGAATTGCTCTCTTTGATCTAAAAGATTAGTTCTGAAGTCACACACACTCAAAAAACTCTGCCCCCAACTATTAATGAGGCATGGCTTTTATTTTTTACGCCTTTATGGTCACAAATCATTGGCGTCATACTGCTGTGCACAATTTTGTGCTTTTAGTGCACTTGTGGTACGGACAGCTCCAACACCGTGTATAGTAGTGTCATCCAGCCTGCTCAACTGTGTGATGTGGAAGATCATTTCTTTATTACAAATTAACATTTATATGCATTAATGCATTTATGGCATCTAAGCCACTGAAAGAACGATGAATGCTCTTTGATTCAACAACTGGCCTGTAACCTTTAGTATTCCACCCTGTCCTCATTGTTGCCATCACAATACTCATCTCACGTCCCTCGTCTGGAGCAGAAGTACAGGTTCGCAGACGGTGCAGATGTGTGCGAAGTCCCTGTGGCAGCTCTCAGCGTTTTCTGGAAGCTCAGTACCTGTGAGTGTGCTTGCCTGAAG